ATGATCTCTTGGCAAGAAAAAAGTTGCTGGTCAAATGGAACCACATTTCGTGACAATGAGGGAACACAGAGAAGTAACCACTCGTCCATACAGAGACATACGTTCTATTCCGACATTTTGCCGCATTTTTAGCACACCCATTGTTTGTGGGAAGATGAAGTGAACACAGTGAGTGTACCCCAGATACATACTGTTGTCGAAATACAGAATATAGTTTACTGCGGTACTTCTAGTTTTCTGATTGCCTCACGAATCGTTGCTGAACAACTCCATGAACGCGTACGCTGCAGTTTTGTGATAATTATGTTTTTATTTAGTATCAAGCCGTAAAATAACTCGAAGACTTTCTTAGTGTTTGTTCGCACAATCACCGGCATACTATAATTTTCAATCAATTCAAGAAATAAAAATATACAAGTCACTGGAAAGCAAACAGCGAAAAGGGACTCTAACCAGAAATTTAAGCAAATATTTTCAAAAGACTTGTGATTTGAGGTAATGTGTGAAATATTTTCTTTCAGACTTATTAGAGGGAGATATTATGTTGGATGGACAAATCAGCCGTGCTTCGGTTAACAAGAAAATTTACCTATGGCCAGGAGGCATCGTTCCGTATGTATTGGAATCCTCGCTGAGTACGTACATTTTTGCTTGTCAACTTTGTAAGCAATATAGTTTGCTTTAGGTTTAGACCACTCCAAGGAGAACAAACGAAAAGATGTCGGGTCACTTACTTCCCCACGGAGCAAGTCACTTCATTGGCCCTTGTAACCAAGAGTGGCAGGGGACAGGGGCAGAAGCCTGGGGCAGAAACCTGGGGTCAAAGGGGGTGGGAACTTTACGCAAGAAGAGGGGGTGAGGCGGGGGGAAGTGGGATTCCAAAGGTGGCATATAGGAGATAGGAGAAATAGGGGAAATATTGAAACATTGAGTCATGTGTTGTCATAGGAAAAGCACCCAGAAGTTGGAACGAGGGTAAAAAAAAAATAAGGTTGGGGAACAAAGAACAGATCCATTGTCCACTCAGTAGAATTATACCAAAAGTCTAGAAAGTCAGTCGATGACCGGAACTGGGCTAGCAAAACTTACCTAGCTCTTAAGGAATCCTTTTAACGTTGATGCCTGGATTTTGAAGTTTTTTTCTGCGAGGGACTAACAGGCTAGTTTTTCAATGGTTTCGAGTTGCATACCGTGAAATATCCCGCACCGAGTGGCTTGCATGATTTTTCAGAATGCACTCGAGTCTTAAGGCCAGTGGGGTATACAAAGAAAACTCAAGTCACGAGAAAACACTGTGTTACCAGGCCTTTACCATAAAATAACCGCTACAAGACGAACAGCTTGCAAGAAGTAAGATTAGCATAAGCTTTTACTTCGAATGAAGCCGGATATACAAGAACTTACAAAACTTTTACATTTAACGTTAGCATGTCAAATTCCTAGGTTAGCTTTAAGCAATCTGATAGCCAGAAAATTGCAAATATTATCTAGTCATGGCAATGGTAAAGATAAAAAAAGACCTGTAAGATTATGCAAGATTTGCTTTATACCTTACATGGCAAGTTCTTGCCGTCCAAAGCTGTTTTCTTCCGCATTCTTGGGTTTTTCGGTAAATACCTACAATTGTAGCAATCATGTTTTTGAAGCTTCAAACTATAGAAAGTCGAATTCGATATACTAATTTGGTTTCTTATTCTTGTAATGTTTGAACTTCTTCTTGTAATATCTGAACCAAGCTGAATAGAATGTACCTGGCGCGCGCTGCCGGCCAGGTTTTTTGGCGGGAAAATTTAGATAAACGCTATGATATGCATCAAATTTTTAGCTGTAGCTTCCTGATTGGCTATTTATATTGTACACGGAGCGAAGGCGAATGAGACCCGCACACGCACGAATAGCTGGGAAATGAGTGTTCCTTCAGGAAAATTTCTCCACATTATTTTGTTTTCTTACTTAACAGCCATTCACGCACGCTCAGCAATAACCAATGCCATGAGCACGATGGAAAGGCTTTCATGTTTGCGTTTCAAGTCCAGAACAAATGAACCGTACTTTGTAAGGTTTATACGAGGACAAGGGTGAGTTATCGTCAATAACTCAGCGTATGTAACTTATGAATCAGTTATGAGACAACAGACTTATAAGGGGCGAAATGAAAGTAAACTTTAAAAAAAAGTCAGTTGGATCTCAACACACTGGAACCATTGTATAAACTTTTAACTTTTATTATGTCAAATTTTAACAGTTATATTTCGTTGTTAGCACACGCAAAGCTTTTTTGGAACTTTTTACCTTTTAACTAAAGAAGGCTCAATATTAAAAGCTGAAATGTTTTTTGGCCTCTCTCAAAACACAAACCAAATTAGCACAGAGGGAGCTTTCATGGAACACAAGAAATAATAATAGTTGTAGCACAAAGGGGATTCCTCTTATAACTTATCCATCATACTGTTTTTTTTTTCTTTTTGTGATAGTTGCTACTCCTGTATCGGTCGAACAATGAATCCAAAAGGTCAGGTGGTTTCTATAGGATACGGTTGTGAGTACGAGGGCACCATTTTACATGAGTTGATGCATACTGTCGGTTTCTTTCATACAAACTCACGGCCTGACCGGGATGCTTATGTTATCGTGTATTCGAAGAACATCAGACCTGGTGAGTAGTGCGCATGTCAGAAATCAGCTGTCTTGGACATTAATTCTTGCAAAACCAGATCAATCGAGGAACTCATTGTGACCACAAGTAAGCCTAACACACAAAAGAACCGCAGCATCGTACAACTGGAACTTAACAAATCACTTCTGACCAATCAAAACATGCCCGGATAAGGTAGTGAACCAATCAGAGTTGGACGTAAGAAATCTTGATGCTACTAAAACCATGCGGTTTCTAAGCCCGGAAAAAAGCCTGAAGGGGAGCCAGGTCTGGCTTCAGTCTCCTTTCTGATTGGTTGACTAGAGAAAAGAAACAGCACCGTTGCTTAAAACACGAGTTTCATAAATCGATTAAAAACTTGAAGAGTTCAGGAAGTAATAAATGTCGCAAAACTTGTCTGAACAAAATCTTCGCTTGGTTTTTGAACGCTTTCACTGAGTTTTGAGCGACAAAAGAAACTGCGTTTCTGTCATGGCCTTAGACATAAGTCCTGGGACGAAGAGCAGTTACCAGTTTAGCCAAGAGATCTGGTATCCATTCATCAGAAGCGAATTAAGGCATGTTGTTGTACCTCTCAATAGGTTATGAACAGAACTTTAGAAAGTACAGTCATGGTCAAGTGGATCGGCTGGGGGCACCATATGACAAAACATCCCTCATGCACCTACCTCGAAACAGCTGGAGCAGGAATGGAAAGAACACAATAGAATCACGCGCCGGAGCCCATGTGGTTTTGGGCCAAATGTACGGTTTATCAGTCGTGGATAAACAACAGCTTAATCAGCTGTACAAGTGTAAAAACAGTTATGGTAAGAAATATTCAGTTTTCTACCAAAAAAAATATTGAATTTTTAACTGTACTAGACTCATATAGGGATGTTTTCCAATCTTCTGTTTTCACTAGGTTGCTACCTCGCTGTAGGTCTTGAAAACGGCCAAATAACAGATTCACAGCTGGGTGCCAGCTCTTCCAAGAGCTATTATGAGCCGCACCAGGCTCGGTTACATCTGACCGCGGGACCAAAGGGGAATGGGGCCTGGTGTGCTTCGAAAAGTGCGATAGGAGAATATCTCCAGGTGAATTTTTTCTTCTTTTCTGTTTGAGAATAAAGTTGGTACCTTTCACTGGCCAACTGAGCCAATTTTATATTAGTGTACTTGTTCGGCTAAGATAAAATTTCTTGTTGAGGTCACGCTCCAAGAGCGCAAAAGAGTTCACGCATGTGTGGACTATTGCAATCTCAGAGCAACGCGTGCAAAATCCGACCATTAATGAAACCCTGCATTTCTTTTGGAAATGTAAAAACTGAATAACAGTTGGTAATGGCAAATGAGATTTTATGTAAGAGGATTGTCTGGATGTTTTAAGAGAAATGAATTATATTAGAGTGAACTCTCGTAGACGAATTTCTCGACTCCGCCATCTTAGCTTTTTGGCATTTCACGAGGGGACCAAATATCACTAAGCCTAGAAGAGGAGGGATGGGTTGAGGATCTTGGATCGCTCGTACCGTTGTTAAATTGCAGTTAATCAAGTTAGTTAATTTCTACTGTTGCAACCCACAGATCGATTTAGGCTCAAGGTACAAAGTAACTGCAATTGCTACTCAAGGCATGGCGAGCTATTTTTCGAAAGCCTGGATATCAGGGTACAAAGTCCAGAGCAGTGACAATGGCAACTTGTACAGCTGGGCTACGAGCATACAGGTCAGCGGCATTATTGCTCAGAGTTTGAACTATTGAAGGAGATTGGTTAATAGCAATAAATGGTACAAAAGAAACTCCAACGAATACGTCCATTCCATTTTTAAAGAGCCTCGCCATTCCTCCTGCGTTGACCGTAGGTGGTTTAAATTACTCTGCTGACTAGCGAGGCTGAAAGAAAATAGATATTTGGATGCATTGAATCTCGATAGCAAACACAGACATTATTGCGTTCTAAATAACCATAGGTGTGTTTCCTTCGCGACGGAAGGGAAGAAAAGCTTTCAATAACTGCTTACCTGTTTTACTTAATTATTCATTTATTTTCCTTTTTATGCTTGTCTACTTGCACAATACGCCTCACATTGTAGTAGTTCCGACACCTGCACTGCACCCGGGAAAAGATGGGAAAATGTTGTTGTCTTGTAATTGTCTTGAGATGGTGCGCGTCTTGGGGGAAACGGATTTTGTAACAGCTTGGATGACCATTGCGATTTGGTGAAAAATGAGTTTGCAGACAACAAGAAAGGGGAAAATACTACCCAATCATAACGAAGCCATTCTTCAGCTTACAGTTCAGTTTCTATAAATTACAACTTCGGCTCCACTTTCCCCCTTGTCTGTTTTAAACTCTTTGTCTTTTGCAGCAGTTTCTACATGGAAATTGGGACGCAAACTCTGTGCAGTACAACTCCCTTCAAACACCGTTCAGAGCTCGCTTTGTCAGAATCCTTCCCACTCACTGGTATAACCAGATATGTTTACGAGTTGAACTGTACGGATGCAAGTAAACTTGAGGTGAGAAAAATCAGCGGCATAAACACTCAAACCTGGCATGATTTTGCTTTATTTTGATACATGGGCACAGCTGGAAAGTATCTGCCACAAGGTGATTTAACCACATATAATAAACTAAATAAACTGCAAAGCCGTAAACGAAGATCCTACTTGATTGAAGGTTGGATCTCACAGGAGATCTAATCAGCCAAACTTCAAGTGAAAAGTAAAACGATGAGAAGTGAAGGACTACTGCAAGACTGACACAACGTGGTATATTTAGAACAATATTTCGGCTGGCCAGACCAGCCTTCTTCAGGTTTAGATGTTACTTAATTATAAAAATGAAATTACAATATTATACAGTGCTGGATGTCGTAACACATGTTTCGAAACAGTAAACGGAGTGGCGAAAATGACGAACAAAACAAACTAAAAGTAAGGATAAAACGGGTCTACGCAGGTTACAAGTTGTAGATGTGGTGAGGCTGTGATGAATCGTAAAACTTGTAACTACGAAGATCAATTTTATCCTTACTTTATTTACGTGTAGTTTGTTTTGTTCGTCATTTCCGCCACTCCTTTTAGTTTCGAAATATAGGTTACGACATCCACAACTATATAATATTGTAATTTCATTTCTATAATTTAGTAACACCTAAACCTGAAGAAGGCTTAAACCTTATTTAGCTGCTTTTTTGCAATCTCAAAGGGACTCGTAAAAAGCTAGATGCAGTTGTCAGTTTAGTAGTATAACTGCTGATTCAGACCGGCCTTCATGATCGCTTCTGCTAGAGTTAAAAGAAATTCGTATAGAACGCAGAAGACCCGTAGAAACTTTTCCAAGTTGACTCAACAGCCTTCCACTCAGTCGGTCAGCGTTTGTAGTTTGGGCGGTGTAAAGGAACTTTACTGTGTCTTATTTCAAGTAGCAATAGTAATAACATTGAGGTATCCTGATATACAGTCTCTTTTTGTTTCCTTTTAAGGTTGATGAGAGATATGTGTATTTTCACATTGAACGAGCGGAGATGCAAGTTCTATTACGAATTGAGAATTGGAATATATTTATTTATTGGGTATATAAACGACAGGGAATTCGGGGCCGAACTGCTGATTGCAGTTTCATCATTGATTTGACTGATAAATATATTTATCTATTTTTATTTTACTAGTAAAACAGTACAAACGACATATCATCGAAAAGTAAGATAATTTTAACTGTCAAGTCAATATTACTATCCTTAACTCCTCTATTAAGGGGGCTTATTTATTCCAAGAATGTTCGAGGGAGGGGCCTTATATAAAGGGCCTCCCAGT